TACAATAAACTTCTTTCTTCTAAGCTGCTTTCTCATTTTCACCTGTGACCACACCAACTTTATCATACCATATCCAACACTTACATTCCTAGAACAAAATGTTTACAAGGTTTCTATGTTTGAAGTACAGCATTAAAAATTTAACTCTAAGTAGACTGTGAAAAATTAAATACTTACATTATAATTCCTTCAGGAATGGTTCTCAATATGGAGTGATTTTGCCCTTAGGGTACATTGGCAATGTCTGGGGACATTTTTTAATTGTCATAACAGAAGCAGGGTACTACTGTCATCTAGTGGGTATAAGCCAGAGTTACTGCTAAACATCCTACAATGCACAGAACAGCTTTCCACACCAAAGAATTGTCCTGTCCAAAATGTAAATAGTGCTGATGTTAGGAAATTCTGCCTAAAGTAATCACAAAATGACATAAATGTTATAGCTAAAAAGCCAACAGAAATATTAAAATTGAATTAGGAAGATTTAAATAATTAAAAAGACTGTTGAAAAGAGGATAAAGGAATAAAAACTAGAAAGGGGAAACAGAAAACAAGTAATAGGTAGATTCAACTTCAATCAAATTAAAATTATATAAAATGTAAAAGGATTAATACTCCAATTAAAAGGCAGAGATTATCAGAATGGATTAAAAGCATGATTCAATTATGTGATCTCTATAAGAAATGAGATTTGGGGACACCTGGGTGGCTCAGTCAATTAAGCAGCTGCCTTCAGCTTAGGTCATGATCCTGAGATCCTGAGGTCCTGAGATCAAGTCCCTCATCGGGCTCCTTGCCGGGTGGGGAGCCTGCCTCTCTCTCTTCCGGCTCTGCCTGCTATTCTCCCTGCTTGTGCTCTCTCTCTCCTCCCTCTGTGTTAAATAAATAAATAAAATCTTTAAAAAAAAAAAAAAGAAATGTAGCTGGAATACAAAGATGTAGAGAGTAAGTGGATTTAAAAAAGATTTACTATGCAAAAAAAGTATTAAAATGATAGAGTGGATATAATAAAATTAAATACAAAAATAAACTTGAACACATAGAATGCTGGTAGAGATAAAGAGGAACAAATATTTCATAATAAAAAAAGCTCAATTTTTCAGGAAGTCATATTAATTATAAATGTATATGTACTTAATAAAAGACTCTCAAAATACATGAAGCAAAGAATAATAAAATTAAAGAAGCAACAAGAAAACCCCATGATGATAGATTTCACCATTCCTTTCTCAATAACCAATAAAAAGCTAGACAAAAATCTGTAAAAATATAGATAACCTAAACAATGCTGTCAAATATAATGAACTAAATGATATTTATAGAAAACTACATACAGAATTTTTTTCCAATGAACAAGATCATTCACAAAGATGTACTACCGTTCAGTCAGTAAAAGAAGTCTCAATATATTTATAAAGATTAAAATCAAAGCCATATGTTCTCTAAGTTAAAATTAAATATATTAAAATCTTAAGAAAACTCAAAATATTTGGAAAATGCCAAAACAATTTCTAAAGTAGTCATGGTTCAAAGAAGAAATCACAAGAAAATTTAGAGACTACTTCTTGCTGAATGATAATAGAAGCACAATATGTCAAAATCTATGAGGTCCAGTGTAGGCAGTCCTTTGAAAAAAAATCTAGACTTTTAACCACTCATATCAAAAAAGAAGAAAGGGCTAAAATTGATACCCTTGGGTTTCAAATTAAGAAGTTTAAAAAAAAAAAAAGGAAAGAAAGGGTAAGCCAAAAAGAAAGTATGAGAATGGGGAAAAAAAATAAATCAAAGAGCAGAAATCAACAAGATAAAAATAAAATGAGAGTGAAAATTAACAAAATTAAAAGCAAGTTCTTATAAACCAAAAAAAATTGAAAGGTCCATTGGAAAAAAAGAAAAAAAAACCCACAAATCACCAAAATCAGGAAAGAAAAGGGATGTCACTAAATATCTTATACACATTAATGTGGTAAAAAAAAGAATGTTATTAACATGTTTATATTTTCAAATACCATGATGTTGGTAAGTGTAACAAATTCCTTGAAAAATAAAATTTACAAAAATTAACACAAAATCAAAGAATTATGATGTTACCCAATATTTATAAAATATTGCAAATGTGAAATAATAGACCAATATCTCTCATGAACATAGACACAAAACTCCTTAATAAAATATTAGCACACTGAAACCAACAATGTGTAAAAAGAACAAAACATCATGACTAAATGTGTTTCTTAAGAATTCAAAGTTGATTTAATATTTGAGAATCCTAGTATAAATAGGATTTTTTAATTAAGCAAGCAGACAAAAATAAATATGCATAAATAAACATAAATTCTTTAAAAAGTCTTAAAAAGAATAGAGAATTAACTCTATCAGATATAAAAACATAATGAAATATTATAATAATGGAAACCACTTTGTACCTTAATAAACAGATAAATGGAATGGAGATTCCAGAAATAAAGAGAAATACACATGATAAAGGTTATATGTTAGAGAGGACAAGATGGAATATTGAACAAATTGTGCTGAGAAATCTAACCTGCCATTTAGGTAAAAAAAAAAAAAAATAAAGCTGATTGCATATCTTTTTCCTCACTTAAGGTAAATGCTAGATGAAATGCAAATTTAACTATTTAAAAAATGAAATTATAAAAACACTGGAAGAAAATTTGGAATATATTTTAAAATTTCAATGTGGAGAAAGGCTTCGCAAAAAGAAATAAATGTAGAAAGTTGATTTGAAAGACTGATACATTTGACAACCCAAAATTCAAAGAAAGTAAAAAAAAAAATAGCCTATAAAGAGAGCTATGACAAGCTGAAAAAAATATTTGTAAAATATAAGGCAGAACAGAGGACAAATTCTTTTATAGATGAAGAACTCTACAAATCAATAAGAAAAAAATCAATGTCCCAATAGAAAAAAATATAGGTCATTGTCGTGAAGAGGCAGGTCACAGAAAAATAAATAAAAAGGCTTTCTAACAAGAAAAACATCCTCAGCTTCCTTCAATTTCTAGCGATGGAAATTAAAACAAAAATGAGTTGTTTTTCTTTATCTCACTGGCAAAGCAAGAGAAGATTCATAGTGTGTGATATTGGTGAAGATCTGTGGAAAAGGATACTTGTATACTTTGTATAAAGTGTAAATACTGTAATACACTCTATAATACACTTCATAATAACGTATAGAGTATAAACTGGTGTTATCTGTGTAGAAGGCAATTTGACAACATCTATTAGTTAAAATTCACAAGACTTTTGACCTAATAGGAATTTACATTATATGAATATTTTCACATCTGTGACAAGTCCTTTACACAAGAATAGTTATAGTAGTATTGTGTGTAATAGCAAAGGTAAAAATAAATATCCATTAATGAAGGGCTGAATAAATAAATTAGCTTTCAAATAAAATATTCTGTACTATTAAAAAGATTGAGGTTGATCTATAGATGATTATATAATAAAATCTCCAAGGCATATCATTGAGTAAAATATCTTAAGGGAAAACAATTTATGACATGTGTTCCCATTGTGTAATTTATGACAAATGTACATGTGCAGATATTTACTTATAAATATGTATAAACACACATAAATGCATACAAAAACATTTGTATTCTTTTATATTTGCACACTATTTTTTTAAAACAACAACAACAATGTGTAACTATTGGCTATTACCTAGGGAGATAATGCTTGAGAACTGAGAGTCTGGGGTGAGGGAGAGATTTCCTGAAAATAAACATTTTAAGATGTTTAAAAATATATTTACAACTGCTTATATTATTGAAAAATCCAAAAGTTTGAAAACAGCAAAAAATCAATTTGTTGCATCTTACATCTATGAAAAGTAAATTAAAAAACAGATCTTTGATATGGTGTGCTTTTTGTAAAGAAACCAACCACTTGACTGAATTGCACTTTTTTTTCTCTGCTCTTACTATTTGTTAGGCCCAAGGCCAGGTGTTTAGAGAAACAAAACTAAACAAACAAACAAAAACAATGTACTTGCCCTCAAGGAGCTCACCATTCAATGGGAGCAGCTCACATGCAAAGACTCAGAGGAAGACTGCTGTCCTTCTGGCTTAGATATAAGATATATAGAAAAAACAGTTCCTTCCAAAACCATAGCAAGAGCTTAGTACAGCAACTTTCTACAGATCTCACCAGGTATCATGGTGAATGCCAACACATCACTGAGATGGTTGATGTCATCTCCACTAAGCTGCCAGGGCAGAGCTCAAAGAGACTTCTTTTAAGAAGAGCTATTAAGGGTGCCTGGGTGGCTTAGTGGGTTAAAGCCTCTGCCTTTGGCTCAGGTCATGATCTCAGGGTCCTGGGATCCAGCCCCGCATCAGGCTCTCTGCTCAGCAGGGAGCCTGGTTCTCCATCTCTCTCTGCCTGCCTCTCTGCCTGCTTGTGATCTCGGTCTGTCAAATAAATAAATAAATAAAATCTTTAAAAAAAAAAAAAAGAAGAAGAAGAAGAGCTATTAACCATCATAGATTCTGTCTGCTCAACTTACTGAATAATTTCAATTTCCAAAGGCATTATACTCTTCCCACCTCTACTCCTTTGGCTGTGCTGTTCCTTCAGCTTGGAATGTTAAATTTTTGTTCTCCTTCTTTGGCTAACTCCACCCAACATCAAATGTAGGCTCAAATACTTCTCCAGAAAAGCCTTTCTGATTCTCTGCAACACAAATTAGGTTGAGAATCTTTCCTCCATGCTCCCACAGCTCCATCCACTTTTACATTCAACCATTTGTTTCTCATGCTCTCATATTAAAGTACAAATTTACTTAAAGATGTGTCCCTGGTGTTTGACACACAGTAGAAACTCAGTAATTGATGAAATCAACTATAGAGCTTCACTTTTTCCCTATGGATTCACGAAGCTTACCATACTAACCTGAACTTTGCGATTGACTCCCTATGTGACACGCCCCCCACTGAACCACTATTCCAAATCTAAGACATCACACTCACTCGTCCAGTGACATCCCAGGGAAGACAAACTTGCCCAGGCAGATTCTGTAGACGGAGCTCAGGGGAATCCGCTGCAACTGCACACAGCTGAGCATGATAAAGTCATATTTACAGATCAAGAGAGTCTTGTCTGTGACCAGCAAAATCCTCTCCTTCTCATTGTTCCAGTGGTCTATCCTGTAGGAATCATCACAGAGGATACAAGTTAATAGCATGGTCTTCCAAGTTAAAGATAATGGCACTCCCTGAAATGCCTCTACTAACACGGAAAATAGGGAGGTTTGATCACCTCAGAAGAGGGGTTGAGGGATACCTAATGCCATCCTCTCTCTCTCAGTCCAGTTCCATGACCAAGGGAGGAGGGAAGATGGAAGATTGCAGAAAGAATATGATTTCGGAGATGAATACCCATGAAGAGATCCATGAGGGGAATGACAAGCTTGTAGTGTGTTGACAGACACCTGATTCATGTTCCTTCATATCTTTCCTGTTCGCTAGAAAACCTTCATCTTCCTCCAAGGACACCAAAACATTGGTTTTTTCCCCAACTCAGTTCTTACTACAAACTTTACTCACCACACACTAGTTTTTTCTAATCCCTAAAAGTTATGTTGCTGAGTGAAGATAAAATGGAGACAAGTGCTCTGACCCCCTCCCCCACAAGCTATCTGCTCATCCTATCATATCCTTGAACAAGTGAACTGGTGTTCTTTTGAGCCAAGGACAAAGTAGACACTAGATAAGTGTTTACTAAATTGATTTGCTTTGGCTTTGAGAGCCTTTCAGGGCATGAATGGAAAATTCTGACTCCAACAGAATCTCCACCAGAGAAAACAAGAAGAAATCCAAGCAATGCTGTCTGGTTAGAAGAAAATGCACATGGTCTGGAAATCCTCTCACTCACAGCAATTTTGCTGTCTATCTACTATAGTCTTTAGGATATAACACTCACGATTTTTATTAGATTTATTTCAGTACATGTTTTGTTTTCCTTAGGTGACTTGAAAAGGGTGATCTGTGACTGATTCATACCCGAATCCTCACTACACAAAATCAGTCTAATGTAGAGACAGAAAGGACACCCTACTCCCATCCATTCTCACACAGTAACTACAGTGCTATTTTTAAAATACAAACAGAATGACATCACTCCCCTATTTATTTTATTAAATAGCATCTCTTTGATCTTAGGAGCAAATCCAAGTTAGGAGCAAATCCCACGGACTGTAGCATTATCTCATAACAGGTTAAGAACCCTAACTGTCCTATGATTTATAGGTCAAATGCCTCATGCAAGAGGATTTCTTCAGTTTCTATATAAACGTGGCACACCATTATGTTCTCTCAAAGCATCCTGATCCTCCTCCTTTTTTGGACCCATTGCTTTTTGTAAGGAGGAATGATAAGTAAAACATTTAGAAGTAAGTACCATGTGGACACTGACTGATCAGAATGGATGCCAAAATACAGAGGGAAGACAGTGGCAGTCAGCGTGAGCTCAGTATTGTGTGTGCGTATGTGTGTGTGTGTGTGTGTGTGTGTGTGTGTGTGTGTGTGTGTGTTTCAAAAAGGTAGAGACTCTATCCAGCTCCTGTCAAATAGCCTACAATAAATAAATTCCTGTTGAGTGAATAAATGAGTGCTAATCAAAAATTTTGAAGGTTGTTGGGCTAGATGAGGGCAGAGCTAAAACTTCCAGCTCTATAACTTACTGACTCTGTAGGATTGGATATTTAACCTGTCTTTGGCTCCTGCTCCTTACCTGCGAAATGGAGACAATACTAGCACTCATCTCCTAAGTTTGGGGAGAGGATTAGGGGAAATGATTCTTAATCAGTGCTCTATAAAATCAGCTGTTATGATCAGGGGCAGGGACCTCAGTCACTAAGGAATTTTGGGCAACCCAGATATATGCCTTTCCTCAGTACAGCATAACCTAAACCCAGACAGGCAAGACAAGCCAAGAATTAAATCAGTGCAAGGAAAAGTAGACATGTAAAAAAGAGAAAAAAAGATAGAAGAGAAGAAAAGAGAGAAAAGCAGAAAAAGGAAAAACAAGAAGACTGGGATCATTGATAGAGGTCCTGTTGTAAGGTAGCCATAATGTGGTAAGAATATTAGCTCTACATCCCCCACAACCCTTTGAAGCAAGTCACATCTGAAGTCAGTCAACTAGAATATGGTAATAGGATCAGTGGTGCAGAGTCTGAGAGATTTGGTTTAAATCCTGTTCCGCCAGTGTCCCTCCACTTCAACGACACTGCCATACTCAACTCCTGACGCACTGGGAAAAGGAAGGAATTCTAGATGATCTGTTTAACACTCTCAGTCTTAATCAGAAAGAGACTGGGGACTCTGAAATGTCTTATCGGATATCTACATAAATTTCTCTAAATAGCTTGCATCTACTTAGCAGCAAGTTAAAAGCTGCTGCCTAATAAACCAGACTTGGTTTTAGTCTAAAAAAACCACAGCTTTTGGTTGAATGGTTTTACTGAAAATGTCAGCACTCCATAATGAGATTTATTTTAAAAGGTAAAGGATTTGGGAAAAAAGAGAATTCTTTTTAGGAACACAGAGTGCTCTGCTGTGACACAGATTTTGCATAATTTACATGTCGGGAAAGTCTGAATTCAAGTAAACACACAGATTTATAAATAGTTTGGGGCCACATCTCTAGCTCCTGGGTGGTATATGTATTTATTTAGACTTCAATCGCACCTTTTTCCCCAAATAACTCATGGAAAAAACATTGAATTTCATATCCCCAATATTAACATAATTGAAGTTGGGTTGGCAACAGTATCCCCCACAAATATAGGGATAGGAGTAACAGTGAAATATTGTGGAGATTTACAAAGTCCTTGGGTATTGATGGTCCTATTAATCCTCACAACAACTCTTTGGACTGGATGTTATTACCTTCATTTTAAAGACAAAGTAGAGACATAAAACCCAGCCATGGTATTGGCTTTCTTCCCAGTACCATTCACCTCCAAAGAGAGGGTCCTTCAGGTGGTATGAGAATGTGGTAAAACCCACTTCTGGAAGAAGCTGACGTGATGATATATACCACTCCTGGGACTGTTCTCTCTGGGAAACCTTTCTCCTGAGAAAACACACATTACTGTCCCTTTCAAACGTTGTCCTCTTCCAGTGTCCCCAATCGTGGTGAAGAACCTCCTTCCAGTTACGCAAGCCAGAGACGTAGGAGGAAGTCATTCTGGACTCTCCCTTTCCTTACCTCATCTTCCAGGTCCTAAAAATTTGATGCCCAAAATATATCTCAACGCCACCCACTTATCTCCATCTTGACCTCGACCTCCTCTTGACTGGATCAAGTCTTCCCTCATCTCCTGCTTAGACTATCACAGTCATCCTCTTACTAGGTCTGGCTACTAGTCACCGAGACCCATTTTGCCTACATCTACTCTTGTTCCCTCCTAACCTCTCCACCTTTTGAGGGAGACCTTTTGAAAAAAACAAATTTGGCCCTCACCTCTCCAGTTTGGCTTCAGACATTTCAATAGATCTCCAGAGTTCTCATAAGAAATGACAAAAGTTCTTCACCAGGTCTGAAATGCTCTCCACAGTCGAGCCCTACCTACTTCTTCAGCCTCATCCCAGGTCAAGTCTCTGCACTCATTCTTCTCCATCTTTCAGTTTCTTGTCTTCAACATCCCCACTCCTACTAAAGTGACTTTGCATTTGCTGCCTCCTCCTGGGATTCTTTGCTTAACTTCTATAGTACTGAGCTCAATTACTCCTTACTCAGGCAAGCCTTCCCAGACCTCTGTGACTACTTCTGCTCTTTCTAATGTACACTTACATAATGCCGCACACTTCTCCTTCATAGTGCTTACCCCAGATGCAATTTTAGTTATTTCTATGATGACCTAATTAACATCTGCCTCCTCTCTTATACTATGAACACAACAAAGACAGAGTTAGTTCTGCACATCGTGTCTCCGAAGTTGCATGTGTCCAAAAAATATTTCTGAAATGAATTAGTAAAGAATGAACAATCCTTGTGCTGCACAAGCCATATGCCTTGGCTCATGCTGTTTGGGAATCCTATCCTCACGTTTACACATTGAGATACTCCCCCATAAAATAGCACAGTTTCAAAAACTAATCAGTAACATTGGGAAAATGTTCATGCAGTGTAAAAATCAGAAAGAGAGGATACAAAATATTACTTTCAGTATACTTCCAACTTTGTAACAACAAATCCATAGATCAAAATGGTAACTGATTATTTCTGAGTGCTGGGGTTTTTCATGTTTTTATTAGCCAGTATTTTATTTCTTCTGGCAATGAACATATTCTACTTTCATGATAAAAAGATATTTTTTAAAAAATAATCTCACCTATCCTTCAAGTCCCCAGTTTAAACGCTATCTATTTCATGGAGACTCACCCTCACCAGTCTCCAGCCTACCTCTTGCAAAGCAGATGTCATTTCTTTGCATTAAAGACACACAAGCTTGGGGCGCCTGGGTGGCTCAGTGGGTTAAGCCTCTGCCTCCGGCTCAGGTCCTGATCTCAGGGTCCTGGGATGGAGCCCCGCATTAGGCTCTCTGCTCAGCAGGGAGTCTGCTTCCCCCTCCCCCTCTGCCTGCCTCTCTGACCAATTGTGATCTCTCTCTCTGTGTCAAATAAATAAATAAAATGTTAAAAAAAAAAAAAAAAGACACACAAGCTTTTTATCAGAACCTCAGCTGTGGCCCAGGTCACAATCTGCTCTATATTACAGTGATGTCTACCTCCAGAATATCCTCTTGTTCCCCACATTTGATGAAAGGACCCCCCCCCCCCAGTATAGAGAGGTGTTTTAGTCCTCTCTGGGTCCCCTCATTATGCCCAAGACAAAGCCGAGAGAGAAATCATAGCAAGTGAGCAGAGCATGAAAGACGAAAACCATAAGATTCATCCTCTTAGTTGTGAGACTCAGTGTCTCCTGGCAGAGGCTTTGCCGTATCTCCTGTTGCCACTGTTGTTCCTCAGCACTAGTGTCATTTCCCAATTCAATGAAGGGCCTGGATACCCCAGTGTGAAAGGGAATCTAGGAACTCCAGATTTGTGGTTTCCTGGGATGACAACAGTTTTGCCAGCAGAGGGCAACAGCGAACCAGCAATGACAGGCAACCGGGCAGAGCAAGTTTCCAGGGCCCCTA